CCAGTGAGTGCTCATGTCTCTCTGTCAGGATCAACCTGCCCAGTAAATATAATTTATAGATAATTCCCCAATCTCTTGGAGCCATCTCTCCCATTTCACCACCACATGGACAATCGTCCCTGCCACAAGCTCCCCACTCACCCGGCACAGAGCAGGGGGATGTCTGTGCTCAGGGCTGGCTCAGGGGGTGCCCCAGGAGATTCCTCCAGGTCCTCACCCCTGCACATCTCCCTCTCACCTCTGCAGGTCTGCAGATGGCTCCAAGCAGCAGCTGCTTCAACCCCCATGTCTCCCACTCGGAGTGGACGAGCACCAACCTGCCTCCAGCTGCCACCTTTGTCACCGGCCACAGCGTTGCTTCCCGGCCAGGCGCTGCCCTGTGGGGACCCCCGGGCTGCGGCTCCCCCCGGCCTGGGCAGAGCAATGGGCCCCCCAGAGCCAAGCTGAGCTGTCCTGCCCCACAACTGTCAGGGCAGAGCAGCGGCCTCAGCCCGTCCAGTGCTGCCACCGTCCCTCCGCAGCCACCACCACGTCGAGGGACAGTACACGCACCATGGCCTGTCCAGCAGAGCCAACCGCTGGCGGCACCCCCAGGCAGTGGCAGCCAAACCCAGGCAACAATATCCCCATGGTAAGGACATCCTCCCAGGTGTTGACATCTCCCTGGCGAGTGATGTCCCCATGGATGAGGACATCCTCCCAGGTGTTGACATCTCCCTGGCGAGTGATGTCCCCATGGATGAGGACATCCTCCCAGGATGTGACATCTCCCTGGCGAGTGATGTCCCCATGGATGAGGACATCCTCCCAGGATGTGACATCTCCCTGGCGAGTGATGTCCTGATGTCCATGGATGAGGGCACCCCCCTGGGTGGTAACATCTCCCCCAGCCACTCTGGCCCTCCACGTCCAAGCCATCAGGGACCCCGGGGTGATTCCAGCCGGTGACGTTGTGCTGCCTGAGGTGGTGCTGCTGGAAGAGGCTATGAGGCACTTGGATTGCTCCCTGGGGGCAAGGGGGGGATCAGCCGGACGATTCCAGCAGCGTCCCCGTGCCCGTGGACACCGGTGGCACTAGTGGCTCCATCCCCCAGCGCAGGATCAGCTCGCTGTGGCTGCCCGAGAAGATGCTCCCCAATGACTCGTGTCCCAAGGCCTCCAAAGCCACCCTGAGCAGGGAGCACTTAACTCCCATCAGGATGAGGGCTGAGGATCCACGGCAGGACGTGGGGACAGACCTGCCACCCCCTCAGGGCAGTGTGTCCCGGCACGACACCAGCCGGGAGAAGCGAGGGGAGAAGTGAGGAGAAGCGAGCGGAGAAGCGAGCGGAGAAGCGAGGGGAGAAGCGAGGGAGAAGCGAGGGGAGAAGCGAGGGAGAAGCGAGCGGAGAAGCGAGCGGAGAAGCGAGCGGAGAAGCGAGCGGAGAAGCGGCAAAATGGCTCCCGGCCAGAAAATGGCGGCAAGCGCAAGGCCCCTGCAGCCAGTGCTGGGGCGGGGGGTGGGACTGGGCCTGTTGCGGGGAACGGGTGGGTTTGGGGAGGGGGGAGGGTGTGTTGACGATGTAGTAGCTTTGGTAGTGCGTGTTTTGTTCTCAGTTTTTCCATTAAAAGCCATTTATCCAGAACCTGTCCGTGCCTCACTGACGTCCTCCAGGCAGGTGACATCCGTAGCTCTTCCCTCGTCCTCTAATGCCGTCACTCCATCATGGAAGGCCGCTGGATTAGTCGGGCACGATTTGCCCTCGGCGAAGCCACGCTGGCTGTCTCTAAAGCGGCTGCTGAGCTGTTGTCATTCCATTTTCTAGCTCTGCAGTCACCAGTTGTGAGGCATTCATGACTCTCGGCCGCTATGAATTTACAAACTGGCAAAAATGAGCTCTCTAAAGTAGAAACATCCTTCCCAGTAAACTGCCCTGGCATTTTATCGGAATCTGTTTTAGTTTTCCTGCTCTGTGCTGAAATCCTGTAAATTCTTCACCATTGCTTCTGCCACTGTTAGTGCTACTGGTCCCCAGAAATGTTCCAGCTCCCTCTTGCCTGAAATCGCTTTTGAATTCACTCCCTGCTGTAACATCGCAAACCGATTTGCCGCACACTCTATCTCCTACAACATTTCTTAAGTAAGCACCTTACAACTGGCCTTTTTTGACATGCCAAGCTAATAGCTACTGTTTCATTTTGCATTTCTCATAGTACCAGGGAATGTGAAATACTATTTTTAATATATTGCTGCCTATCCTCACTTTCTGCATTAGTTTCACAGATTTTCAGTATACTTCTTTCACTATTTCTTTTCGTCACCAGATTTTCTGCAGAATAGCCCTCTGCCAAAGTTTGTTGCCTTACAGTGATTTTTGTCTTTGCCCTTTGCTACATAGAAGCCAGCACAAATAAGGGAAAAACTGACTATACAAGAGAGTGTGAAAATACCTTACGTCTAAATGACAAAACTAAGATCTTCATAAAGATTAATTAATAAATAAATATACCTATACACACTTCCCCCCCACCCCCCCCGACACATACACCTATAAACACGCCCCCGCGACGGGTCACGCGCACCTCGACACCCACACCTGCCCCTACAGACACCCATGAGGACCGGCACCCCCCGGCCTCCCGCCCCGCTCTGCCCCTCGGGCCCGCTCCCCTCACACCAGCGCCGGGGAGCGGGGGAGTGTCACTGAGGGAGGAAAGTCTCACCTCGCCGGTTCGTGGGGCGGACGCGCACCGCCACCTTCACTTTGGAGTCCCCCATCGCGCTGCTCCAACCTCCTCCCCGGCTCCTTCGTCCCTCCTCGGCTTCCGTTTACGGAGGGACAACCGGCGGGGCGGGGAGGAGGGCGGAGCGGGGCGGGAGGGGGTGTCAAACCGGGGGAGGGGGGGGGCGGAGGAAGGGAGGCACCGTGTGTGACCGACGTCCGGCTGGACTACAGATCCCAGCGTGCAGCGCCGCCCACCCCGCCGCTCCGGGGAGGCGGGCAGCGAGGCGCGATGCCCGCTGGGAGTTGTAGTCCTTTCCGCGCCGTCTCCTGGCGGGACAGCATTGCATGCTGGGATATGTGGTCCGCTAGCATAGACGAGTTTCGTGAGGGGGCGAGCCCCAAATGGCGTTTGTGGGTTGTGTCGCGCTGACAGAGAAGGGGGGTCTCAGGCTCACCCCAGGTCCTGCCACACATCACCAGAGTGGCTGTGGGCCAGCCCTGTCCCACCTCAGTCTGTGCTGCCTGTGCCTCGGGCCCTTTTTGAGGGAATACTGCCATACTTCGCAGCATCGCCGCTGCGACCCAAAACCTCACCTCGCCGCAAGATGTTCTCTGGGAGTCACAAAGCAAGGCGGCATTGCTCTGCTGGTCCGTGGGGTTTCTGTCCGTTAGAAATCACGTCACGCCGAGGATCACGAACCGTAACCCAACGTAAAGACCGTGGGGTTAGATGATGGCTGGGTCTGGCTTCGCAGAGCAACCTCTGATACGCCGCCGTCAACACACTTTGCAGTTTGCTTAATGAAGGCGGTTCATTAATAGAGCTCAACAGTAATAATCGGAGACAGTTGGAACAATATTACAATTTATTCCCATTAGACGGCTCGGCTGCTCAACCGCAGCTACTGATCTCAGAGACCGAGAATGAAACTATAATGCGAAGATGCAAAAAAGAAATCTCATTTAAATGGTCATTTAAAAGCCCTTGCAGCTGCTATTTTAGATCAAAACAAAGATTCTCTCTGTGTTATTTTGAAAGGCCAGATTTCAGCAAGGACGGGGGGAAAAAAAAAAGAAAACAACAGCAAACCAACCAATTCAGAATTGTAATCCTTTGGGCCTTCAACATCGAATGAGATTTTATGGCATAAATAATAAAAACACATTTCCAAGTGGTTTTGAGATAAGATTTTAGAAGGTAGCTCTTCTTGCCCAGAAGAATTGCACTCAATATCTAATTTCATGCCTGCTTGACCTGAGGAATATCTTGTCAAGGCAGAGAGAAAACAAATATTAAATTGGTATTTAAGTAACACTGGGATTAAAGTCCATGTTCTTAAGAGCATCCCAAGTGAGCATGAGAGTTAAGAAGATGTCTTAGAGTTAAAAAAAAAAAAAAGAAAGAAAAATAACAGCAGGTCAGATCAAACAGGGTGGCAAAAGCTTTAAACAACATTTTTTTGTGCATAGCAGCAGAAAGTAGCAGCTCCTGGGTATGCCACGCTTGCAGCTCAGCCCCACAGCCCCGTGTTGTGGGGGTTCTTGTTGGAAGAGGGGAGGACCTGCTGTCAGCCCGCACAGTTGGTTCTTGCACTTGTGGACTTGAGGATCCAATTACAGGATGAACCGGGCTTTGAACTTCTTGTGGTATTTTCCAGCCGGGGCCTCAGCAAACCGCACCAACGTCTTCTGAAACCGAGTACTTTGCAATGGAGGTAAATATAATCCCCGCTTTACAGCTGGGCATGATGAGCCGCAAGTGGAGGGTGATGTTTTTTCTGTTGAGTCACCTGGAATACGATTTAAATAAGTGGGATGAAACCTGCCAGATGTGCATACTGCTGGGGATAGCAGGTGTCACCCAAATCCAGCCCTTCCTCCTGCATCTTCTCCTCTGATATTAGTTATCATTGGTCTCTCTGTTATATGTAAAATTAAATAGTAAATCTTGTGGGGAAAGGATTGCAGACCAGCTTTTCATTTGATAGAAAGAGGGCCAGCATGTTTTAAGTGCCATATACATGGACAATAACAAGTGAAAGCATCCAATTCTTGCAAGCTTTGCTTCAGTTTTCTACTTGGGATGAAGAATTTATTTTAAAATCTGAAAACTCACCCTTTCAACCTTTCTTCCATTCTAATTGCCAAAGAAACCAGATTCGCACGTGATCGTTGCTACGTTCTGCAAACTTCTCTGAAGACGGAGACATCCTCGGAGGCCAAAGAACCATCCTCAGCTTCAACGTCGGGTTTTATCGGGGCTCTGGGAAGGCGATGACTTCTCATGGCTCTGCAGTCTTGCCTCTGGACATTTCCTTTATGCGAGCCCCTGCCTCCTGCAATGAATTACAGTAATGCAACTTATCTTGCACCGGGCACAAGCTACCTCAGTGTAATTACCCCACTGTGAATTCCTCGGCAAGCCCTTTCCCTGGCTCAGAGTTTCACAATCTGTGGGAAGCATCTCCCTGGAGGGGCACAGCTTGGAGGGAGGATATTGTTTCCATTCACAGCACTGGAACATGCTAATTATTCTGGGAGGAAAGGGGGGGTGGGGGGGTGGCAGCTTTCACTTGGAGGGACAGGCTGGGCAAATAGTTTGTGAAACGCCAACTTAACCCCATCTTGTAGGGCATTGTCTGCAGCTCTTTTCCCCCTTCCTAGTTACTGTAATGAGGGCCTGACTTCCCAGATTAGCTCTGGCTATTTAAATGCTAATTTAATTAACAAAACATCCGGGGGGGGGGGTGGGGGGGGGGGGGAAGCATTACTTGTCCCTCCCATTCATTTATCGAATTTCTGAATGCAACACTATTTTCATCAGGTTGAGGAGCTACAGTTATTGCTACACCCACCTGGTCATAGCAGGGATTAAAGCAGTGATGTGGAGGAGAGAAAAGAGGGCCTCCGTCTCATTTTTTTATAAGCAACTGAATTTCATTGGTTTTGTTTAGAAGTAACCAAGTCAAAACAGTTTAATGTGTCCCACATAACTGATGGCTGGGGTGTGTGTATCACCAGGACCCAAGGGAAGAAGATGGCTTTTGTTTTTGTTAGGTGAAGGTATGAATGGTTTGGATCTCGGATCTTCTAGATAGAACTGTATCTCAGGGCAAGCCAGAAAACATGACAGTCTTTTGGAAGTCTTCTTCCAGTCCATAACAAGTAACAAATCAATTGTATTTTAAATATTTTTTTCATTTGTTAGACTGCGTATCAAAAGAGACGCATCAATTATGAATTTGCAGTAGACCTACTTTCTGCCCATAAATCATTCAGGTGTTGGAAAACTAAAACAGAGGATCTTACTAGTGTTTAGTTAGTTGTATGCAAACTCTTAAGGGGTCCACTTCTGCAAGAAGCTGAGCACCAACTGGGACAGTCCCAGTCAGAGACTGGGAGGCATTCAGGGCAGCAGCAGCACTTTAGCATCTTCAGTGATCAGGTTCTCAGCACAAAAATATTTTGCGAAACAGTTTAAAAACAAGACCTGTTGCTGTTTTGCATTTTTCATAGATTGTTTTGGCCAGTCCCAGGAGTAAAGAGTTTTATTCTGGTACGATAAGTTTGCCTTCAGGTTTATCTTGCTTTTCAGTCTGGAGATACAAATATATAAATGTAGTAGAAATTTATAGGTACTTAGAAGCGAAAACAGAAGATAGATTTGTTATAAATTCTTTCAACTATAATCAAGAAAGCAAGCACCAAGGGAAATTGGTATTAAGAACAGGTCAAGAAATCTGGATAAAAGAGAAATTCAATTTATCCAAATCAGTTGTCAAAACTCTGCTTGATATCAAAATGTTGTCTGCTTTTTGTTTTTTTGTTTGTTTTTTTTTTTTTTTTAAAAGGAATTGCTGAAATTTCTCAGCCAACACTTTGCGCAAATGTACAGGTTTGGGAGACTCACATTCATTTTAGCAAGGCACTTTCTGTGCTCCATTATTTTAATAGGAACTTCCTATAATCAAAGGATTGATTGTTCCCTGGGTCATTCGTGACTCTGAATTTCACTGATCCTGGCATGAACTTTTGAAGGTATTTGAGTGTGGCCTCCTAGTCTCAGTGTGAAAAGTATTCACGGCAAATAAATGAACTCTCGAAGTCTTCTTGCGGCACTAGATTATAACAGATTAAAACCCGAACCACACTTTTATAGACAGCCCCTCTTTTTAAAAGTTATTCCAGAGTTCAAAGTCCTGGTCATAAATATCATGGCATTATAGGACATGTATTACCCAGAGGAAAGCACAAATCAATAGCCAGACCCCGATGTCTCCATAAACCCCATATGTGCCCTGTTTATAGCAGTGAAATTTCTTACACTTTGGCTGGGGTGCTTCTCCCATACAGTGGGATTTCAGTACAAATTCATACTTCTGGCAGCAACGCAAGGCCAGGCAATATTAGCAAATTTTGTGCTGGTAGGATGAGGTTCCTGATGAGTATTTTCTCATTGACTAAAAATTTCTATTATTCTTATCAGCTGTTCAGTTTGCTGATACAGAGTGTTTCAGAGCAACTGGTTTTACCAGCCGTGTTACATTTTCTTTGAGAGGTTCTTCCTCAGGTAAAGACTCCACACTGGATTTCCTTTGTTTGAAAGGAAAATAGATTTTCTGTCTTTGGAGAAAATGGAGAATCTCTGAAGAACTTGAAAAATACAAAATTAGCGGGAGAGCGTTTCTAGCAGTTGTAAGACAAGTTTGTAGTTCTATAAAAGCAAAAATCCCAACACAATGGCAATTACGGGTACTCTGATGAACGCATATTACCGAGCTGTGTAATGTTTCCCGCGTTTCTCCTAGTACTTCTGAGATACATGAATGGTCAGGGCTGAACTGCCTTGACTTCAAAGGTTGGAATATTTTACAGCTTCATCTGCTGAATCATGTTGGTTTTGCTCCACTTCTGCAGAGGCGCCGCCTGCAAAAGCCACATTTTTTTGCTTTTCTGCCCATCCACACCTTGTCTCTTCTTCACCTTCCCTCTTCCCCAGAAGCTGTACAGCTTCAGAGCATGTCCTGGTAATCCAGACACCGACAGACACTGGCCAAGATCCTAATCCAAACCCAGATCTAAATTACCAGCTGCATTTACACTAATAATAATAATAATAATAATAAAAAAACCCTAATGTGTTTTGCCTATGTTTAGCAAATAACACCGCAGGCTAAATTGCCAGCTCCAGATACCCCAGATTAACGAGTTGGTAATTTGATGTTGAAACTTGGGAAATTTTGATAAATGGGATGCTGCTGTCAGTGCCGGGAGCTGTAGAATTTATGGATGAAATGGGATTTATCAGCGACGACCAAAAATTCCTTTCTGACTCTATAGGCAAGAGTGACGCCCGTGGCTACGGAGCAAAATAAATCAGGTCTAATTGTAATGGTCCCCTTTCCTGTCCTTCCTTATTTATTGATTTTCCCCTGCTGCTTTTAAGGAAAGAGCTGGGGACAAGCAAGGACTTCTACCCGCCCTCGCAGCATGAGCACCATTGCCTGGTGGCACCCATTCCCCTGGACCAGCTCCTTTGGGGTGAAAGTGGGAGAGCAAAGGGTGCTGGCAACTCTCCCATGGCTCCTAAAATGCTGCAGCCAAGCATGGAGACACAGATGTGGTCCTGGCACCCTGAATTTGGGCAGAGGATTTCCACTGATCTTGCCACAACCCTTATGTGGCCCTTCCCAGGGTTTGTCTACGCTCAGGGCTTGCGCTCGTTAGGACACGAGATGGGATTTCTTTTATCCATATTCAGCTAAATGGCAGCAAACTCATTAGCACGGGTTATCAGAGAGAAGTAAATACCGGGGCCTCCTTTTGCTTTGTGCCTACTACGTAGTGCTTATCATACAGTAAAGATTATGTGACAAAAAGAAAACAGCATTTTGACTACTACTGTCTAGTAACCCTAAACCCTAATACCTTCAGCTAAGCGGTTATTGATGGGTATTATGAATGGTAACTACTGAAGGAAAGTGTTCAAAAAAAAAAAAAGGAGTAATCTTTGCCGAAGGGCTAAAATGTACTTTATTTGGACTTTAATTTGGACTTACTAGAAATGAAAATGGAAATGCCCAGGTAATTACCTCACTCACTGAGCTGTGGCTTTAATAAATGTCAAGTGTTGGGAGTGTACTGCTAAAAGCTGGGTCATGGGCCTCTGCTGGAAACGTGCCCATTGAACAAACAACCAGTTTGGCTCCTAAATCAAAAGTCCCCGTGGTATTTCTGTATGGGTGAGCATTGACATTAGATGTTCCCTAAGGTACCTATCCATATCTCAATGTGTTATAAAGAGGGAACTCAAGCTGAGGTCTGGTCTGCTTATGGGAAAATGAAGCCCAGCTCTGATACTTAGACCTTGCTTCTGTCTCTGCTTCCAGACCTCCACTTCACTGGTGTACATGATACCTGGATTTAGGAGCTCACTGGTGCGGTTTCCAATTGAAAACATGGAGCGGGAAGGATTGTTGAAGGGACAGATTGAGGTACTCTGGTCCTTCACTCATGGATGCCTGCAAAACTAAGAAAACACAAAAATATTTTCTTAAAATTGGGAATACCTCTCCGATTGCGAATAACTGGGATGGGAAGGAGCATCGGGTTTGTGCCGGTAAGTTTTCTGAGTTTTCAGAAAGGCAAAGAAACCACGTTATTACGAGTGAAGAGCATGAAGGAGAGCTTGTTGCACAGCACAAGGCCATCGCAACCAGAAGAAGCAAGGAGCAGTGTGTAGCTGCCAGAAATACCAAGCCACCTCTTCCAACACCCCTCAGCTCAAAGGCCCATCTCTTTGCAGAGACATCCTCTTGCCCAGAGCTGCATTGTACAGCATACGGCCTCCCGCTTGCCTTGAGGAGATGTCTCTTAAGAGGCTCTTCCACAGTCAGCTTCACAGCCACACTGTTGCTCCTAATATTCATCACATGCGGGATCAAAAAATTACGTCTGCAGAAAGTTGCTCCAGAACAAAAATGTCATTCAATCATAGAGTGGTTTGGGTTGGAAGGGACCTCAGAGATCACCCAGTCCCAACCCCCCTGCCCCGGGCAGGGCCCCTTCCCCCAGCCCAGGGGGCTCCCAGCCCCGTCCAACCTGGCCTTGAACCCTTCCAGGGAGGGGGCAGCCACAGCTGCTCTGGGCAACTTGTGCCAGCGCCTCACTGCCCTCACAGTAAAGAATTTCTTCCTTACATCTAATCGAAATCTACCCCCTTTCAGTTTAAAACTGTTGCTCCTTGTCCTCTTGCAACAGACCCTATTAAAATGTCTCTCTGCATCTTTCTTATAAGCCCCCTTTAAGTACTGAAAGGCGGCAATAAGGTCTCCCCAAGAGCTTTCCCTTCTCCAGGCTGAACCACCCCAAACCTTTCATCATGGGAAAGGTGTTTAATCCCTCTGATTATTTCTGTGGCCTCCTCTGGCCCTGCTCAAGCAGGTCAGTGTCCTTCTGATGTCAGGGGCCCCAGGCTGGCCCCAGCACTGCAGGGGGGTCTCCCCAGAGCGCAGCAGAGGGGGAGAATCCCCTCCCTGGCCCTGCTGCCCCCCCTGCTCTGGCTGCAGCCCAGAACACGGGTGGCTTTCTGGGCTGCGAGCAGACATTGCCGGGTCATGTCCAGCTTTTCATCCACCAGTACTCCCAAGTCCTTCTCTGTGGGGCTGCTCTCAATCCACTCATCCCCCAGCCTGTATTGTTACTGGGGATTGCCCTGACCCATGTGCAGGACCTTGCATTTGGCCTTGTTGATCTCCAAGAGGTTCACATGGGCCCACTTCTTAAGCTTGTCCAGGTCCCTCTGGAAGGCATGCCTTCCCTCAGGTGAGGCAACTGCACCACTCAGTTTGGTGTCATTCACTAATTTGATGAGGGTGCACTCAATCCCACTGTCTATGTCATTGGTGAAGACATGAAATAGTACTGGTCCCAGTACAAACCCTTTAGGGACACCACTCCTTACTGGTTTCCCCCTGGACATTGAGCCATTGACCATAACTCTTAACTCAACTCTTTTGTTAACCCTTTCCCTCTGCATGAAGAGCAGTCAAAGCTACTGGGGGCGGGACAGAACACGGGGAGCCCCAACATTCCTTGCCAGGCAACACTCAAACAGAATCCACAGGACAGAAGTGACCATGGCACTGCCAGCTCTGCAGCACACACTGTGCGGCCCTGGGGCTCCTCCGATGGCCCAGCTACTGCAGCCATTCCTCTTCCCCAAAACCTTCTACACCAGAGGTGAGGACTAACCCTGACCCCGACAGCCCCGGGACTCGCTCTGGGGAAATTCAGAGCCCTTTCTCCGTTGCGCCTCTCCCTTCTCCTTCTCAGTCCCCTCATGCGCCCTCCTGTCCCGGCTTGGGATGTGATCACCAGTGAGTGCTCATGTCTCTCTGTCAGGATCAACCTGCCCAGTAAATATAATTTATAGATAATTCCCCAATCTCTTGGAGCCATCTCTCCCATTTCACCACCACATGGACAATCGTCCCTGCCACAAGCTCCCCACTCACCCGGCACAGAGCAGGGGGATGTCTGTGCTCAGGGCTGGCTCAGGGGGTGCCCCAGGAGATTCCTCCAGGTCCTCACCCCTGCACATCTCCCTCTCACCTCTGCAGGTCTGCAGATGGCTCCAAGCAGCAGCTGCTTCAACCCCCATGTCTCCCACTCGGAGTGGACGAGCACCAACCTGCCTCCAGCTGCCACCTTTGTCACCGGCCACAGCGTTGCTTCCCGGCCAGGCGCTGCCCTGTGGGGACCCCCGGGCTGCGGCTCCCCCCGGCCTGGGCAGAGCAATGGGCCCCCCAGAGCCAAGCTGAGCTGTCCTGCCCCACAACTGTCAGGGCAGAGCAGCGGCCTCAGCCCGTCCAGTGCTGCCACCGTCCCTCCGCAGCCACCACCACGTCGAGGGACAGTACACGCACCATGGCCTGTCCAGCAGAGCCAACCGCTGGCGGCACCCCCAGGCAGTGGCAGCCACCCAGGCAACAATATCCCCATGGTTAAGGACATCCTCCCAGGTGTTGACATCTCCCTGGCGAGTGATGTCCCCATGGATGAGGACATCCTCCCAGGTGTTGACATCTCCCTGGCGAGTGATGTCCCCATGGATGAGGACATCCTCCCAGGATGTGACATCTCCCTGGCGAGTGATGTCCCCATGGATGAGGACATCCTCCCAGGTGTTGACATCTCCCTGGCGAGTGATGTCCCCATGGATGAGGACATCCTCCCAGGATGTGACATCTCCCTGGCGAGTGATGTCCCCATGGATGAGGACATCCTCCCAGGATGTGACATCTCCCTGGCGAGTGATGTCCCCATGGATGAGGGCACCCCCCTGGGTGGTAACATCTCCCCCAGCCACTCTGCTGCCCTCCACGTCCAAGCCATCAGGGACCCCGGGGTGATTCCAGCCGGTGACGTTGTGCTGCCTGAGGTGGTGCTGCTGGAAGAGGCTATGAGGCACTTGGATTGCTCCCTGGGGGCAAGGGGGGGATCAGCCGGGACGATTCCAGCAGCGTCCCCGTGCCCGTGGACACCGGTGGCACTAGTGGCTCCATCCCCCAGCGCAGGATCAGCTCGCTGTGGCTGCCCGAGAAGATGCTCCCCAATGACTCGTGTCCCCAAGGCCTCCAAAGCCACCCTGAGCAGGGAGCACTTAACTCCCATCAGGATGAGGGCTGAGGATCCACGGCAGGACGTGGGGACAGACCTGCCACCCCCTCAGGGCAGTGTGTCCCGGCACGACACCAGCCGGGAGAAGCGAGCGGAGAAGCGAGAGGAGAAGCGAGGGGAGAAGCGAGCGGAGAAGCGAGCGGAGAAGCGAGGGGAGAAGCGAGGGGAGAAGCGAGCGGAGAGAAGCGAGCGGAGAAGCGAGCGGAGAAGTGGCAAAATGGCTCCCGGCCAGAAAATGGCGGCAAGCGCAAGGCCCCTGCAGCCAGTGCTGGGGCGGGGGGTGGGACTGGGCCTGTTGCGGGGAACGGGTGGGTTTGGGGAGGGGGGAGGGTGTGTTGACGATGTAGTAGCTTTGGTAGTGCGTGTTTTGTTCTCAGTTTTTCCATTAAAAGCCATTTATCCAGAACCTGTCCGTGCCTCACTGACGTCCTCCAGGCAGGTGACATCCGTAGCTCTTCCCTCGTCCTCTAATGCCGTCACTCCATCATGGAAGGCCGCTGGATTAGTCGGGCACGATTTGCCCTCGGCGAAGCCACGCTGGCTGTCTCTAAAGCGGCTGCTGAGCTGTTGTCATTCCATTTTCTAGCTCTGCAGTCACCAGTTGTGAGGCATTCATGACTCTCGGCCGCTATGAATTTACAAACTGGCAAAAATGAGCTCTCTAAAGTAGAAACATCCTTCCCAGTAAACTGCCCTGGCATTTTATCGGAATCTGTTTTAGTTTTCCTGCTCTGTGCTGAAATCCTGTAAATTCTTCACCATTGCTTCTGCCACTGTTAGTGCTACTGGTCCCCAGAAATGTTCCAGCTCCCTCTTGCCTGAAATCGCTTTTGAATTCACTCCCTGCTGTAACATCGCAAACCGATTTGCCGCACACTCTATCTCCTACAACATTTCTTAAGTAAGCACCTTACAACTGGCCTTTTTTGACATGCCAAGCTAATAGCTACTGTTTCATTTTGCATTTCTCATAGTACCAGGGAATGTGAAATACTATTTTTAATATATTGCTGCCTATCCTCACTTTCTGCATTAGTTTCACAGATTTTCAGTATACTTCTTTCACTATTTCTTTTCGTCACCAGATTTTCTGCAGAATAGCCCTCTGCCAAAGTTTGTTGCCTTACAGTGATTTTTGTCTTTGCCCTTTGCTACATAGAAGCCAGCACAAATAAGGGAAAAACTGACTATACAAGAGAGTGTGAAAATACCTTACGTCTAAATGACAAAACTAAGATCTTCATAAAGATTAATTAATAAATAAATATACCTATACACACTTCCCCCCACCCCCCCCCGACACATACACCTATAAACACGCCCCCGCGACGGGTCACGCGCACCTCGACACCCACACCTGCCCCTACAGACACCCATGAGGACCGGCACCCCCCGGCCTCCCGCCCCGCTCTGCCCCTCGGGCCCGCTCCCCTCACACCAGCGCCGGGGAGCGGGGGAGTGTCACTGAGGGAGGAAAGTCTCACCTCGCCGGTTCGTGGGGCGGACGCGCACCGCCACCTTCACTTTGGAGTCCCCCATCGCGCTGCTCCAACCTCCTCCCCGGCTCCTTCGTCCCTCCTCGGCTTCCGTTTACGGAGGGACAACCGGCGGGGCGGGGAGGAGGGCGGAGCGGGGCGGGAGGGGGTGTCAAACCGGGGGAGGGGGGGGGCGGAGGAAGGGAGGCACCGTGTGTGACCGACGTCCGGCTGGACTACAGATCCCAGCGTGCAGCGCCGCCCACCCCGCCGCTCCGGGGAGGCGGGCAGCGAGGCGCGATGCCCGCTGGGAGTTGTAGTCCTTTCCGCGCCCGTCTCCTGGCGGGACAGCATTGCATGCTGGGATATGTGGTCCGCTAGCATAGACGAGTTTCGTGAGGGGGCGAGCCCCAAATGGCGTTTGTGGGTTGTGTCGCGCTGACAGAGAAGGGGGGTCTCAGGCTCACCCCAGGTCCTGCCACACATCACCAGAGTGGCTGTGGGCCAGCCCTGTCCCACCTCAGTCTGTGCTGCCTGTGCCTCGGGCCCTTTTTGAGGGAATACTGCCATACTTCGCAGCATCGCCGCTGCGACCCAAAACCTCACCTCGCCGCAAGATGTTCTCTGGGAGTCACAAAGCAAGGCGGCATTGCTCTGCTGGTCCGTGGGGTTTCTGTCCGTTAGAAATCACGTCACGCCGAGGATCACGAACCGTAACCCAACGTAAAGACCGTGGGGTTAGATGATGGCTGGGTCTGGCTTCGCAGAGCAACCTCTGATACGCCGCCGTCAACACACTTTGCAGTTTGCTTAATGAAGGCGGTTCATTAATAGAGCTCAACAGTAATAATCGGAGACAGTTGGAACAATATTACAATTTATTCCCATTAGACGGCTCGGCTGCTCAACCGCAGCTACTGATCTCAGAGACCGAGAATGAAACTATAATGCGAAGATGCAAAAAAAGAAATCTCATTTAAATGGTCATTTAAAAGCCCTTGCAGCTGCTATTTTAGATCAAAACAAAGATTCTCTCTGTGTTATTTTGAAAGGCCAGATTTCAGCAAGGACGGGGGGAAAAAAAAAAAGAAAACAAAACAGCAAACCAACAAATTCAGAATTGTAATCCTTTGGGCCTTCAACATCGAATGAGATTTTATGGCATAAATAAATAAAGAACACATTTCCAAGTGGTTTTGAGATAAGATCTTAGAAGGTAGCTCTTCTTGCCCAGAAGAATTGCACTCAATATCTATCATTTCATGCCTGCTTGACCTGAGGAATATCTTGTCAAGGCAGAGAGAAAACAAATATTAAATTGGTATTTAAGTAACACTGGGATTAAAGTCCATGTTCTTAAGAGCATCCCAAGTGAGCATGAGAGTTAAGAAGATGTCTTAGAGTTAAAAAAAAAAAAAAAGAAAGAAAAAATAACAGCAGGTCAGATCAAACAGGGTGGCAAAAGCTTTAAAAACATTTTTTTGTGCATAGCAGCAGAAAGTAGCAGCTCCTGGGTATGCCACGCTTGCAGCTCAGCCCCACAGCCCCGTGTTGTGGTGGGGTTCTTGTTGGAAGAGGGAGGACCTGCTGTCAGCCCGCACAGTTGGTTCTTGCACTTGTGGACTTGAGGATCCAATTACAGGATGAAACCGGGCTTTGAACTTCTTGTGGTATTTTCCAGCCGGGGCCTCAGCAAACCGCACCAACGTCTTCTGAAACCGAGTACTTTGCAATGGAGGTAAATATAATCCCCGCTTTACAGCTGGGCATGATGAGCCGCAAGTGGAGGGTGATGTTTTTTCTGTTGAGTCACCTGGAATACGATTTAAATAAGTGGGATGAAACCTGCCAGATGTGCATACTGCTGGGGATAGCAGGTGTCACCCAAATCCAGCCCTTCCTCCTGCATCTTCTCCTCTGATATTAGTTATCATTGGTCTCTCTGTTATATGTAAAATTAAATAGTAAATCTTGTGGGGAAAGGATTGCAGACCAGCTTTTCATTTGATAGAAAGAGGGGCCAGCATGTTTTAAGTGCCATATACATGGACAATAACAAGTGAAAGCATCCAATTCTTGCAAGCTTTGCTTCAGTTTTCTACTTGGGATGAAGAATTTATTTTAAAATCTGAAAACTCACCCTTTCAACCTTTCTTCCATTCTAATTGCCAAAGAGAAACCAGATTCGCACGTGATCGTTGCTACGTTCTGCAAACTTCTCTGAAGACGGAGACATCCTCGGAGGCCAAAGAACCATCCTCAGCTTCAACGTCGGGTTTTATCGGGGCTCTGGGAAGGCGATGACTTCTCATGGCTCTGCAGTCTTGCCTCTGGACATTTCCTTTATGCGAGCCCCTGCCTCCTGCAATGAATTACAGTAATGCAACTTATCTTGCACCGGGCACAAGCTACCTCAGTGTAATTACCCCACTGTGAATTCCTCGGCAAGCCCTTTCCCTGGCTCAGAGTTTCACAATCTGTGGGAAGCATCTCCCTGGAGGGGCACAGCTTGGAGGGAGGATATTGTTTCCATTCACAGCACTGGAACATGCTAATTATTCTGGGAGGAAAGGGGGGGGGGTGGGGGGGGCGGGGTGGGGGGGTGGCAGCTTTCACTTGGGAGGGACAGGCTGGGCAAATAGTTTTGTGAAACGCCAACTTAACCCCATCTTGTAGGGCATTGTCTGCAGCTCTTTTCCCCCTTCCTAGTTACTGTAATGAGGGCCTGACTTCCCAGATTAGCTCTGGCTATTTAAATGCTAATTTAATTAACAAAACATCGGGGGGGGGGGGGGGGGGGGGGGGGAAGCATTACTTGTCCCTCCCATTCATTTATCGAATTTCTGAATGCAACACTATTTTCATCAGGTTGAGGAGCTACAGTTATTGCTACACCCACCTGGTCATAGCAGGGATTAAAGCAGTGATGTGGAGGAGAGAAAAAGAGGGCCTCCGTCTCATTTTTTATAAGCAACTGAATTTCATTGGTTTTGTTTAGAAGTAACCAAGTCAAACAGTTTAATGTGTCCCACATAACTGGGATGGCTGGGGTGTGTGTATCACCAGGACCAAGGGAAGAAGATGGCTTTGTTTTGTTTAGGTGAAGGTATGAATGGTTTGGATCTCGGATCTTCTAGATAGAACTGTATCTCAGGGCAAGCCAGAAAACATGACAGTCTTTTGGAAGTCTTCTTCCAGTCCATAACAAGTAACAAATCAATTGTATTTTAAATATTTTTTTCATTTGTTAGACTGCGTATCAAAAGAGACGCATCAATATGAATTTGCAGTAGACCTACTTTCTGCCCATAAATCATTCAGGTGTTGGAAAACTAAAACAGAGGATCTTACTAGTGTTAGTTAGTTGTATGCAAACTCTTAAGGGGTCCACTTCTGCAAGAAGCTGAGCACCAACTGGGACAGTCCCAGTCAGAGACTGGGAGGCATTCAGGGCAGCCAGCAGCACTTTAGCATCTTCAGTGATCAGGTTCTCAGCACAAAAATATTTGCGAAACAGTTTAAAAACAAGACCTGTGCTGTTTTGCATTTTCATAGATTTGTTTTGGCCAGTCCCAGGAGTAAAGAGTTTTATTCTGGTACGATAAGTTTGCCTTCAGGTTTATCTTGCTTTCAGTCTGGAGATACAAATATATAAATGTAGTAGAAATTTATAGGTACGTAGAAGCGAAAACAGAAGATAGATTTGTTATAAATTTCTTTCAACTATAATCAAGAAAGCAAGCACCAAGGGAAATTGGTATTAAGAACAGGTCAAGAAATCTGGATAAAAGAGAAATTCAATTTATCCAAATCAGTTGTCAAAACTCTGTGATATCAAAATGTTGTCTGCTTTTGTTTTTTGTTGTTTGTTTGTTTTTTTTTTTTTTTAAAAGGAATTGCTGAAATTTCTCAGCCAACACTTTGCGCAAATGTACAGGTTGGGAGACTCACATTCATTTAGCAAGGCACTTTCTGTGCTCCATTATTTTAATAGGAACTTCCTATAATCAAAGGATTGATTGTTCCCTGGGTCATTCGTGACTCTGAATTTCACTGATCCTGGCATGAACTTTTGAAGGTATTTGAGTGTGGCCTCCTAGTCTCAGTGTGAAAAGTATTCACGGCCAAATAAATGAACTCTCGAAGTCTTCTTGCGGCACTAGATTATAAACAGATTAAAACCCGAACCACACTTTTTATAGACAGCCCCCTCTTTTAAAAGTTATTCCAGAGTTCAAAAGTCCTGGTCATAAATCTCATGGCATTATAGGACATTTTACCCAGAGGAAAGCACAAATCAATAGCCAGACCCCGATGTCTCCATAAACCCCATATGTGCCCTGTTATAGCAGTGAAATTTCTTACACTTTGGCTGGGGTGGCTTCTCCCATACAGTGGGATTTCAGTACAAATTCATACTTCTGCAGCAACGCAAGGCCAGGCAATATTAGCAAATTTGTGCTGGTAGGATGAGGTTCCTGATGAGTATTTTCTCATTGACTAAAAATTTCTATTATTCTTATCAGCTGTTCAGTTTGCTGATACAGAGTGTTTCAGAGCAACTGGTTTTACCAGCCGTGTTACATTTTCTTTGAGAGGTTCTTCTCAGGTAAAGACTCCACACTGGATTTCCTTTGTTTGAAAGGAAAATAGATTTTCTGTCTTTGGAGAAAATGGAGAATCTCTGAAGAACTTGAAAAATACAAAATTAGCGGGAGAGCGTTTCTAGCAGTTGTAAGACAAGTTTGTAGTTCTATAAAAGCAAAAATCCCAACACAATGGCAATTACGGGTACTCTGATGAACGCATATTTACCGAGCTGTGTAATGTTTCCCGCGTTTATCTCCTAGTACTTCTGAGATACATGAATGGTCAGGGCTGAACTGCCTTGACTTCAAAGGTTGGAATATTTTACAGCTTCATCTGCTGAATCATGTTGGTTTTGCTCCACTTCTGCAGAGGCGCCGCCTGCAAAAAGCCACATTTTTTGCTTTTCTGCCCATCCACACCTTGTCTCTTCTTCACCTGCCCTCTTCCCCAGAAGCTGTACAGCTTCAGAGCATGTCCTGGTAATCCAGACACCGACAGACACTGGCCAAGATCTAATCCAAACCCAGATCTAAATTATCCAGCTGCATTTACACTAATAATAATAATAATAATATATATAAAAAAACCCTAATGTGTTTTGCCTATGTTTAGCAAATAACACCGCAGGCTAAATTGCCAGCTCCAGATACCCCCAGATTAACGAGTTGGTAATTTGATGTTGAAACTTGGGAAATTTTGATAAATGGGATGCTGCGTCAGTGCCAGTGCCGGGAGCTGTAGAATTTATGGATGAAATGGGATTTTATCAGCGACGACCAAAAATTCCTTTCTGACTCTATAGGCAAGAGTGACCCCGGTGGCTACGGAGCAAAATAAAATCAGGTCTAATTGTAATGGTCCCCTTCTGTCCTTCCTTATTTATTGATTTTCCCCTGCTGCTTTTAAGGAAAGAGCTGGGGACAAGCAAGGACTTCTACCCGCCCTCGCAGCATGAGCACCATTGCCTGGTGGCACCCATTCCCCTGGACCAGCTCCTTTGGGGTGAAAGTGGGAGAGCAAAGGGGTGCTGGCAACTCTCCCATGGCTCCTAAAATGCTGCAGCCAAGCATGGAGACACAGATGTGGTCCTGGCACCCTGAATTTGGCAGAGGATTCCACTGATCTTGCCACAACCCTTATGTGGCCTTCCAGGGTTTGTCTACGCTCAGGGCTTGCGCTCGTTAGGACACGAGATGGGATCTTTTATCCATATTTCAGCTAAAATGGCAGCAAACTCATTAGCACGGGTTATCAGAGAGAAGTAAATACCGGGGGCCTCCTTTTTGCTTTGTGCCTACTACGTAGTGCTTATCATACAGTAAAGATTATGTGACAAAAAGAATGAAACAGCATTTTGACTACTACTGTCTACGTAACCTAAACCCTAATACCTTCAGCTAAGCGGTTATTGATGGGTATTATGAATGGTTAACTACCTGAAGGAAAGTGTTCAAAAAAAAAAAAAAAGGAGTAATCTTTGCCGAAGGGCTAAAAATGTACTTTATTTGGACTTTAATTTGGACTTACTAGAAATGAAAATGGAAATGCCCAGGTAATTACCTCACTCACTGAGCTGTGGCTTAATAAATGTCAAGTGTTGGGAGTGTACTGCTAAAAGCTGGTGTCATGGGCCTCTGCTGGAAACGTGCCCATTGAACAACAAACCAGTTTGGCTCCTAAATCAAAAGTCCCCGTGGTATTTCTGTATGGGTGAGCATTGACATTAGATGTTCCCTAAGGTACCTATCCATATCTCAATGTGTTATAAAGAGGGAACTCAAGCTGAGGTCTGGGTCTGCTTACTGGGAAAATGAAGCCCAGCTCTGATACTTAGACCTTGCTTCTGTCTCTGCTTCCAGACCTCCACTTCACTGGTGTACATGATACCTGGATTTAGGAGCTCACTGGTGCGGTTTCCAATTGAAAACATGGAGCGGGGAAGGATGTTGAAGGGACAGATTGAGGTACTTGGTCCTTCACTCATGGATGCTGCAAAACTAAGAAAACACAAAAATATTTTCTCTTAAAATTTGGAATACCTCTCCCGATTGCGAATAACTGGGATGGGAAGGAGCATCGGGTTTGTGCCGGTAAGTTTTCTGAGTTTTCAGAAAGGCAAAGAACCACGTATTACGAGTGAAGAGCATGAAGGAGAGCTTGTTGCACAGCACAAGGCCATCGCAACCAGAGAAGCAAGGAGCAGGTGTAGCTGCCAGAAATACCAAGCCACCTCTTCCAACACCCTCAGCTCAAAGGCCCATCTCTTTGCAGAGACATCCTCTTGCCAGAGCTGCATTGTACAGCATACGGCCTCCGCTTGCCTTGAGGAGATGTCTCTTAAGAGGCTCTTCCACAGTCAGCTTCACAGCCACACTGTTGCTCCTAATATTCATCACATGCGGGATCAAAAAATTACGTCTGCAGAAAGTTGCTCCAGAACAAAAATGTCATTCAATCATAGAGTGGTTTGGGTTGGAAGGGACCTCAGAGATCACCCAGTCCCAACCCCCCTGCCCCGGGCAGGGCCCCCTTCCCCCAGCCCAGGGGGCTCCCAGCCCCGTCCAACCTGGCCTTGAACCCTTCCAGGGAGGGGGCAGCCACAGCTGCTCTGGGCAACTTGTGCCAGCGCCTCACTGCCCTCACAGTAAAGAATTTCTTCCTTACATCTAATCGAAATCTACCCCTTTCAGTTTAAAACTGTTGCTCCTTGTCCTCTTGCAACAGACCCTATTAAAATGTCTCTCTGCATCTTTCTTATAAGCCCCCTTTAAGTACTGAAAGGCGGCAATAGGTCTCCCCAAGAGCTTTCCCTTCTCCAGGCTGAACCACCCCAAACCTTTCATCATGGGAAAGGTGTTTAATCCCTCTGATTATTTCTGTGGCCTCCTCTGGCCCTGCTCAAGCAGGTCAGTGTCCTTCTGATGTCAGGGGCCCCAGGCTGGCCCCAGCACTGCAGGGGGGTCTCCCCAGAGCGCAGCAGAGGGGGAGAATCCCCTCCCTGGCCCTGCTGCCCCCCCTGCTCTGGCTGCAGCCCAGAACACGGGTGGCTTTCTGGGCTGCGAGCAGACATTGCCGGGTCATGTCCAGCTTTTCATCCACCAGTACTCCCAAGTCCTTCTCTGTGGGGCTGCTCTCAATCCACTCATCCCCCAGCCTGTATTGTTACTGGGGATTGCCCTGACCCATGTGCAGGACCTTGCATTTGGCCTTGTTGATCTCCAAGAGGTTCACATGGGCCCACTTCTTAAGCTTGTCCAGGTCCCTCTGGAAGGCATGCCTTCCCTCAGGTGAGGCAACTGCACCACTCAGTTTGGTGTCATTCACTAATTTGATGAGGGTGCACTCAATCCCACTGTCTATGTCATTGGTGAAGACATGAAATAGTACTGGTCCCAGTACAAACCCTTTAGGGACACCACTCCTTACTGGTTTCCCCCTGGACATTGAGCCATGACCATAACTCTTAACTCAACTCTTTTGTTAACCCTTTCCCTCTGCATGAAGAGCAGTCAAAGCTACTGGGGGCGGGACAGAACACGGGGAGCCCAACATTCCTTGCCAGGCAACACTCAAACAGAATCCACAGGACAGAAGTGACCATGGCACTGCCAGCTCTGCAGCACACACTGTGCGGCCCTGGGGCTCCTCCGATGGCCCAGCTACTGCAGCCATTCCTCTTCCCCAAACCTTCTACACCAGAGGTGAGGACTAACCCTGACCCCGACAGCCCCGGGACTCGCTCTGGGGAAATTCAGAGCCCTTTCTCCGTTGCGCCTCTCCCTTCTCCTTCTCAGTCCCCTCATGCGCCTCCTGTCCCGGCTTGGGATGTGATCACCAGTGAGTGCTCATGTCTCTCTGTCAGGATCAACCTCCCAGTAAATATAATTTATAGATAATTCCCCAATCTCTTGGAGCCATCTCTCCATTTCACCACCACATGGACAATCGTCCCTGCCACAAGCTCCCCACTCACCCGGCACAGAGCAGGGGGATGTCTGTGCTCAGGGCTGGCTCAGGGGGTGCCCCAGGAGATTCCTCCAGGTCCTCACCCCTGCACATCTCCCTCTCACCTCTGCAGGTCTGCAGATGGCTCCAAGCAGCAGCTGCTTCAACCCCCATGTCTCCCACTCGGAGTGGACGAGCACCAACCTGCCTCCAGCTGCCACCTTTGTCACCGGCCACAGCGTTGCTTCCCGGCCAGGCGCTGCCCTGTGGGGACCCCCGGGCTGCGGCTCCCCCCGGCCTGGGCAGAGCAATGGGCCCCCCAGAGCCAAGCTGAGCTGTCCTGCCCCACAACTGTCAGGGCAGAGCAGCGGCCTCAGCCCGTCCAGTGCTGCCACCGTCCCTCCGCAGCCACCACCACGTCGAGGGACAGTACACGCACCATGGCCTGTCCAGCAGAGCCAACCGCTGGCGGCACCCCCAGGCAGTGGCAGCCACCCAGGCAACAATATCCCCATGGTTAAGGACATCCTCCCAGGTGTTGACATCTCCCTGGCGAGTGATGTCCCATGGATGAGGACATCCTCCCAGGTGTTGACATCTCCCTGGCGAGTGATGTCCCCATGGATGAGGACATCCTCCCAGGATGTGACATCTCCCTGGCGAGTGATGTCCCCATGGATGAGGACATCCTCCCAGGTGTTGACATCTCCCTGGCGAGTGATGTCCCCATGGATGAGGACATCCTCCCAGGATGTGACATCTCCCTGGCGAGTGATGTCCCCATGGATGAGGACATCCTCCCAGGATGTGACATCTCCCTGGCGAGTGATGTCCCCATGGATGAGGCACCCCCCTGGGTGGTAACATCTCCCCCAGCCACTCTGCTGCCCTCCACGTCCAAGCCATCAGGGACCCCGGGGTGATTCCAGCCGGTGACGTTGTGCTGCCTGAGGTGGTGCTGCTGGAAGAGGCTATGAGGCACTTGGATTGCTCCCTGGGGGCAAGGGGGGGATCAGCCGGGACGATTCCAGCAGCGTCCCCGTGCCCGTGGACACCGGTGGCACTAGTGGCTCCATCCCCCAGCGCAGGATCAGCTCGCTGTGGCTGCCCGAGAAGATGCTCCCCAATGACTCGTGTCCCCAAGGCCTCCAAAGCCACCCTGAGCAGGGAGCACTTAACTCCCATCAGGATGAGGGCTGAGGATCCACGGCAGGACGTGGGGACAGACCTGCCACCCCCTCAGGGCAGTGTGTCCCGGCACGACACCAGCCGGGAGAAGCGAGCGGAGAAGCGAGAGGAGAAGCGAGGGGAGAAGCGAGCGGAGAAGCGAGCGGAGAAGAAGCGAAGGGGAGAAGCGAGAGGAGAAGCGGCAAAATGGCTCCCGGCCAGAAAATGGCGGCAAGCGCAAGGCCCCTGCAGCCAGCTGCTGGGGGGGGGGTGGGACTGGGCCTGTTGGGGAACGGGTGGGTTTGGGGAGGGGGAGGGTGTGTTGACGATGTAGTAGCTTTGGTAGTGCGTGTTTTGTTCTCAGTTTTTCCATTAAAAGCCATTTATCCAGAACCTGTCCGTGCCTCACTGACGTCCTCCAGGCAGGTGACATCCGTAGCTCTTCCTCGTCCTCTAATGCCGTCACTCCATCATGGAAGGCCGCTGGATTAGTCGGGCACGATTTGCCCTCGGCGAAGCCACGCTGGCTGTCTCTAAAGCGGCTGCTGAGCTGTTGTCATTCCATTTTCTAGCTCTGCAGTCACCAGTTGTGAGGCATTCATGACTCTCGGCCGCTATGAATTTACAAACTGGCAAAAATGAGCTCTCTAAAGTAGAAACATCCTTCCCAGTAAACTGCCCTGGCATTTTATCGGAATCTGTTTTAGTTTTCCTGCTCTGTGCTGAAATCCTGTAAATTCTTCACCATTGCTTCTGCCACTGTAGTGCTACTGGTCCCCAGAAATGTTCCAGCTCCCTCTTGCCTGAAATCGCTTTTGAATTCACTCCTGCTGTAACATCGCAACCGATTTGCCGCACACTCTATCTCCTACAACATTTCTTAAGTAAGCACCTTACAACTGGCCTTTTTTGACATGCCAAGCTAATAGCTACTGTTTCATTTTGCATTTCTCATAGTACCAGGGAATGTGAAATACTATTTTTAATATATTGCTGCCTATCCTCACTTTCTGCATTAGTTTCACAGATTTTCAGTATACTTCTTTCACTATTTCTTTTCGTCACCAGATTTCTGCAGAATAGCCCTCTGCCAAAGTTTGTTGCCTTACAGTGATTTTTGTCTTTGCCCTTTGCTACATAGAAGCCAGCACAAATAAGGGAAAAAACTGACTATACAAGAGAGTGTGAAAATACCTTACGTCTAAATGACAAAACTAAGATCTTCATAAAGATTAATTAATAAATAAATATACCTATACACACTTCCCCCCCACCCCCCCCCGACACATACACCTATAAACACGCCCCCGCGACGGGTCACGCGCACCTCGACACCCACACCTGCCCCTACAGACACCCATGAGGACCGGCACCCCCCGGCCTCCCGCCCCGCTCTGCCCTCGGGCCCGCTCCCCTCACACCAGCGCCGGGGAGCGGGGGAGTGTCACTGAGGGAGGAAAGTCTCACCTCGCCGGTTCGTGGGGCGGACGCGCACCGCCACCTTCACTTTGGAGTCCCCCATCGCGCTGCTCCAACCTCCTCCCGGCTCCTTCGTCCCTCCTCGGCTTCCGTTTACGGAGGGACAACCGGCGGGGCGGGGAGGAGGGCGGAGCGGGGCGGGAGGGGGTGTCAAACCGGGGGAGGGGGGGGCGGAGGAAGGGAGGCACCGTGTGTGACCGACGTCCGGCTGGACTACAGATCCCAGCGTGCAGCGCCGCCCACCCCGCCGCTCCGGGGAGGCGGGCAGCGAGGCGCGATGCCCGCTGGGAGTTGTAGTCCTTTCCGCGCCCGTCTCCTGGCGGGACAGCATTGCATGCTGGGATATGTGGTCCGCTAGCATAGACGAGTTTCGTGAGGGGGCGAGCCCCAAATGGCGTTTGGGTTGTGTCGCGCTGACAGAGAAGGGGGGTCTCAGGCTCACCCCAGGTCCTGCCACACATCACCAGAGTGGCTGTGGGCCAGCCCTGTCCCACCTCAGTCTGTGCTGCCTGTGCCTCGGGCCCTTTTTGAGGGAATACTGCATATCGCAGCATCGCCGCTGCGACCCAAAACCTCACCTCGCCGCAAGATGTTCTCTGGGAGTCACAAAGCAAGGCGGCATTGCTCTGCTGGTCCGTGGGGTTTCTGTCCGTTAGAAATCACGTCACGCCGAGGATCACGAACCGTAACCCAACGTAAAGACCGTGGGGTTAGATGATGGCTGGGTCTGGCTTCGCAGAGCAACCTCTGATACGCCGCCGTCAACACACTTTGCAGTTTGCTTAATGAAGGCGGTTCATTAATAGAGCTCAACAGTAATAATCGGAGACAGTTGGAACAATATTACAATTTATTCCCATTAGACGGCTCGGCTGCTCAACCGCAGCTACTGATCTCAGAGACCGAGAATGAAACTATAATGCGAAGATGCAAAAAAGAATCTCATTTAAATGGTCATTTAAAAGCCCTTGCAGCTGCTATTTTAGATCAAAACAAAGATTCTCTCTGTGTTATTTTGAAAGGCCAGATTTCAGCAAGGACGGGGGAAAAAAAAAAGAAAACAAAACAGCAAACCAACAAATTCAGAATTGTAATCCTTTGGGCCTTCAACATCGAATGAGATTTTATGGCATAAATAAATAAAGAACACATTTCCAAGTGGTTTTGAGATAAGATCTTAGAAGGTAGCTCTTCTTGCCCAGAAGAATTGCACTCAATATCTATCATTTCATGCCTGCTTGACCTGAGGAATATCTTGTCAAGGCAGAGAGAAAACAAATATTAAATTGGTATTTAAGTAACACTGGGATTAAAGTCCATGTTCTTAAGAGCATCCCAAGTGAGCATGAGAGTTAAGAAGATGTCTTAGAGTTAAAAAAAAAAAAAAAGAAAGAAAAAATAACAGCAGGTCAGATCAAACAGGGTGGCAAAAGCTTTAAACAACATTTTTTGTGCATAGCAGCAGAAAGTAGCAGCTCCTGGGTATGCCACGCTTGCAGCTCAGCCCCACAGCCCCGTGTTGTGGTGGGGTTCTTGTTGGAAGAGGGTAGGACCTGCTGTCAGCCCGCACAGTTGGTTCTTGCACTTGTGGACTTGAGGATCCAATTACAGGATGAAACCGGGCTTTGAACTTCTTGTGGTATTTCCAGCCGGGGCCTCAGCAAACCGCACCAACGTCTTCTGAAACCGAGTACTTTGCAATGGAGGTAAATATAATCCCCGCTTTACAGCTGGGCATGATGAGCCGCAAGTGGAGGGTGATTTTTTCTGTTGAGTCACCTGGAATACGATTTAAATAAGTGGGATGAAACCTGCCAGATGTGCATACTGCTGGGGATAGCAGGTGTCACCCAAATCCAGCCCTTCCTCCTGCATCTTCTCCTCTGATATTAGTTATCATTGGTCTCTCTGTTATATGTAAAATTAAATAGTAAATCTTGTGGGGAAAGGATTGCAGACCAGCTTTTCATTTGATAGAAAGAGGGGCCAGCATGTTTTAAGTGCCATATACATGGACAATAACAAGTGAAAGCATCCAATTCTTGCAAGCTTTGCTTCAGTTTTCTACTTGGGATGAAGAATTTATTTTAAAATCTGAAAACTCACCCTTTCAACCTTTCTTCCATTCTAATTGCCAAAGAGAAACCAGATTCGCACGTGATCGTTGCTACGTTCTGCAAACTTCTCTGAAGACGGAGACATCCTCGGAGGCCAAAGAACCATCCTCAGCTTCAACGTCGGGTTTTATCGGGGCTCTGGAAGGGATGACTTCTCATGGCTCTGCAGTCTTGCCTCTGGACATTTCCTTTATGCGAGCCCCTGCCTCCTGCAATGAATTACAGTAATGCAACTTATCTTGCACCGGGCACAAGCTACCTCAGTGTAATTACCCACTGTGAATTCCTCGGCAAGCCCTTTCCCTGGCTCAGAGTTTCACAATCTGTGGGAAGCATCTCCCTGGAGGGGCACAGCTTGGAGGGAGGATATTGTTTCCATTCACAGCACTGGAACATGCTAATTATTCTGGGAGGAAAGGGGGGGTGGGGTGGGG